ATACAAAATCGACTCCTTCTCATCTCTGCACAAACTTCACCCACTTCTTGTTTTGTTTGCATATGGTTCTGTTTTAGATTGCTCAGTTCTTCGGCAAACTTCTTAGCTTTTACGCGATGTTCTTCTGCTTTATTCAACAGCAAGTCTTTTTCTCTGGAATATTTTTGTTTCTCAGCGTCGAACTCCTGAAAATCGAACCAAAACAAAACGTGAAAAGAAAAAGTCGGCAAAAAACAAGAGTAGAATTATATCTTTATAAGATAGAAGATAACAAAATAAAGGGGTTTATTGAGCGACAACACGTAAGCGTGTTCAAGTAGAGAGTTAATAGTTGTTATCCTTAGGTTTTAAAACGAAATGATTGACATCATCGATTTTAAAGGGTTTCTTTGTATTCCAAGAAATTTAAAAGGCAATGGAAATTTGATTGGGGAGGGTGGTTTGAGGGTTTGAGGGAGGGAAAGGACTGTGCGACATCGCAGCCAATGACTTCTCTGCCGATTACGTCTGTAATGTGGGTGTAAGCGAATCGCAGAATTCACGAATAACTCACTACGTGAAGCCGTTCAAGGTGTTTTTGATAAGCCTCAGATTTGGACTCAACTTGCATCAGATGCTTCTGAAAGTTATCTTTCTCCTAAAAATAGGAGGTAAATGAACAAAGTAAAGTAAATTTCCAAAAATTTAAACAACAATATCCATTACAGGCCCTTTTTCTTTTTATTTAACCACAAAAACAGTACGGGAAAAAGAGATCTGCTTTCCTATGTCCAAACTGAACATGAAAAGAAGAAGTTACTATCACTTCATCTGCAGCAACAGCAACTTCCCACCGAGTTAGCTCAACGGGACGGCGTTGTTTACAAGATCACGTGTGAATGTGGCAAATTATCATCGGTGAAACAGGGAGTGCGATAGAAGATAGAATTAAGAGACGTGAAAGAGATATACGACTCGCACTCAATAGTCGGCGATTTCAGAACACGCAAATGAAACGGGGCACGTTCCTGTTTGGGACCAGGTGAGGTTTATTGATCACGACTGACTGGAACACACGTATGGTCTAAAGAAGCCATCCACATAAAACTTCCTCCTCCTAAACAAAGGTGCTATAAGTCAACTTTCCACCTGGTCGCCTGACGAAGACCAGCAGTAGAGAGGTCGAAACGTCTCCATCATTACACAATTGATTGTCCTGGCTCTTACATCGTGAGACAAACGTTCATTTATCTATATAAACCACGATAAACAACAAAATTTTCTAGAATAACTCTGTACCTACTTTTGGCGTAAATTTAGACTGCGATGTCGTTGTATTTTCTTTCAGGGTGACATTAAATAGGGAATTGAAAAGCAAAAATAAGAAACCAAATGAAGTACATGTAAGCTGTTGATTCCAGGGTAGCGCGTCTTAAATTGATTGGTAAACCACTATCCGTAAGGTTTTGTTAAGGTTTATTTTCGGGTTTCCTTCTACCGATTCACTCACATTCACGAAGCGATCATTGAAGCACGTAGCATGACCGTATTGGGAAGTGTCAATCACACACTATCCGCCAAACTTGAGGCTAATATGATAATTCAAGACTTTAAAAGACCTAATTTCAACAAGACTTTACTAAATAAACAATGAAGGTTTGCATATCATTTCATTTTATCCATTAACCACTCAAAATGAACAAAATCACACCTGCCGTACCAAAGATTAACAGCATCAAATATTTTAACCAAGAAGTGCCAAACAGTGGTCGCTTTGGTGTTGCATTTGGATGAGAACGGTTTTATCTGGACAGCTCTAACACCCCCCTCATAATTCAAATAGAACAGGTGTCCCATTGAAAAGATGTCACGAAGAAAATTACCAATAGCCTGAAGTTTTATGTATTCATACGGCTTCTAAAGTTTTCCTATTATTCCTCTTAAAATGGTGACAGAAGGACTTACGAATCTTTCCCAAGAGCTGCAGCAACGTGCAGTTGGTTTGGTAGTCTTGGAAAGTGCTCTTATGATACTCATTAACATACTGGCCTTTACTGGTAACATGCTGGTCTGCTTGGCAGTGTATCGTAATCAAAGACTTCGCATCATACCGAACATCTACGTCGTGACTCTGGCCATATCAGATGCTCTGATGGCAGCCCTCTGTATGCCTATGTCTGTGGTTCTTCTCACAACAGGAAAGTGGCCATTTAACAGTGCTGTTTGTCATTTCCAAGGATTCTTTTGTTTCTTCTGCGCGCTGAACTCTTTGTTGCTTATGACTGCAACGGCGGTGAACCGATATTTTCGCGTGGTGAAACCCACCCTTTATCGTCAGCGTTTTAAAGTAAAATCAACGTTTATTTCTGTGGTTGCCTTGACACTTTTCGCAGCTCTTGGTGCAGGACTTTCATCGATGACTCAATGGGCCACATTTACCGTGCATTACGGTAAAGTTATTTGTTTTATGGAATTTGAGACACCGCACCTGGACATGGCTTACATGGCGTATTTGGATGTAATCTACATTTCTGTTCCTATTGGAATCATCACCTTCGCGTATTACAAGATTTTTATAACCATCAAACAACACAATCAGGAGATGAACATTACTAGAAAAGAGGCGAATCTTCGATTGAATGTGGAGGAAGTGAAAATAACAAAGGCACTATTCGCAGCTGTGCTGGGTTTTATTCTCTGTTGGGGACCTATAGCTATTATTGACATGGTTGATTCCTTCTCTGCACATAAACTTGCTATTCCACGACAGGTTTTCATTTTATACATATATCTTGGCTTTGGAAGTTGTACCATTAACCCTGTTATATATGGTGTTATGAATAGAGCGTTCAGAGCAGAATTCTTGCGTGTTTTGACTTTCTGTAGAAGAAAGAACGAAATTGCTCCACATGGCTGAGCCTCTAACATTAGCACATAATCTGCTTCGCAGCGATCTACATTTGTGTTGCAAAGTGACAAGCGGAGGAAAAATCCAGAATTAATGTGACCCGCGTTAATAAAAATCTTTACGGAAGAAAAAGTAGTTTTGACAGTGCGATTGAGTGCCGTTCAAGGAAACAAAATTCATGTTTACATAAAAACATTCTGAGGGTTAATTTACACCGTGTATTTTTTTAAAAATTGCTTCTTATGCTATTTCACAACTCCATAGTTTCTTTAATGAAAAACAAATTTCTCGTAACCACTTTTGGTTCGCTTATTAATTTTATAGATTTAAATTGAAGACGTATCAATTTTCTGAATGAAAGTTTGTTATGAATCAAGAAAAAAGAATTAGGAAAAAAAAAAGCTTAAAGCTTTTGAGAGACATAAATTAAATATGCAAAGCACGGCTTCTGGCACGGCACGGAAGTTGTTGTCATCCGAACATAAATTGAGTCTGAGAATCGACTCACATTCTGCAACACAGTGTATTTTTTTCTTTCTTTTTCTTTTTCTTTCTTTTTCTTTTCTAAAGCATGATGACAAAATTGTAACAGTTTCCTCTGTAAAGTAAGACGTGGGTAAAGTGAACAGGTGAATTAAGAAGCACACCGAGTTAAAGTTTATTTCGCTTCTGGCACGGCACGGAAGTTTTTGTCATCCGAACATAAATTAAGTTTGAGAATCGACTCACATTCTACAATACAGTGCATTTTTTTCTTTCTTTCCATCTTTTTCTTTTCTACAGTGAATTGAGAAGCACAACGAGTTAAAGTTTAATTCGCTGTAATCGTTTCGAAACGTAGCGTGCAACTAAGAATTTGCAATAAAAAAGTTTCCTTTAAATAGCCTGAAAAGATCCAAATAGATGGATGGTTAAAAAAATCAGTAACACCTTTGGAACGATGCAAATGGAAAGGGCGATCATTGGTTCCTAAAGAACTACTAGAACATTTATGAGCAAGAAAACTTTGAACCCATTTCAAAGTTGAGGTGTCAGTTACAATTTTCAAGCCAATGGGAGACTGTAAAATTGAGCGTCATAAATTGATGATTGCACCATAACAGGGAATGAAAATTACTTCTCCTCAAGAAAGGTCACTTTAACCTTGACAAATGAAAATTTGTTGATAGTAGGAAGAGTTAAACAATACACTCTTCATGGAGTTCTATTGCTGTCTTTATGAGAAAAATAATTTTAATGGGCCCTAACATGCCTTTTTTCCACAACGCCATTAAAAATAATGATTACTATAAAAGTTAAAAACAAAACAAAAAAATTCGTCTTTTTGTATTGAAGGCTGCTGCGTTTTACCGCCAAAATGAAGCAGGTTCGCGCACACTGTTTCACAAAAGGGAAATTTCGAACTCCCATAGTCACACTCTTCTTAGAACTTATAGTGGTCTTAACTACTCACAGATTTCAGAAGTTCTTGTAACTCTTTAACTTCACCTCGCTCTTCTTGAAGAGCTCTATGTTGCTTCTTGTTTTCATCCGAGAGGTTGTTGATAGTTTGGCGCAGTCTGGTAACAAGGAGCTCTGTGGAAAGTGAATCAGTTTTCACAAGGAATAGTCTTGAATAGAATAGGAAAATTTCTCGTCCGTGAAGCAATTTCAAGATTAATAAAAGCGAAAGAATTCGAGCACCACCAAATTCCGATATTGTGGTCGTATGCTCTAAAAACTGAGCTGCAGGGCGCTCATTAATGAGAAACATCATAAGTTGTCATGAACCTGAAAAGCGTTGTGTATACAGATAAAATCAGTAATGTCGAGGGCGTCCTGGAGAAAAATAGTTTAAACGTGAATATAAATTACCATTTTCTTTCTCGTTGTGTTTAGGCGTTGAACACCCCTGAGGCAAACTGCCCTTTCGAGCGCTGTCACGTCTCACAGTTTCTTCCTCTACGTTTTCAATCAACTCTGTCTGCCTTTTTCGGAAATCTGCGATCGTCTGCAATGTAGAAAGCGGCTATGTTTTCAAGATAGTCAGTAATTGATGACTGTATCTAGCATTCCCTTTTGCACTCCAAAGCAAAATATCATTCTTAAAATTTTGACTATGGGGTTTTGTAAAATAGGGACATATAGCGAATGTTTTCCAAGTTTTTACAAGGGACCTTAGTATGTAAGGATAGTCCACTTCATGCTAATTAATTTACCCCGCCATCACGATTTCTTCAAATTTCTTGGAAATTTGCCTTTTCTCCGTATAAAGTTTATTTCAAATATCTGATGCAAGCACCTTGGCTTTGGACCAATAATGGGAAAAGTTTTGGCCTCAGTGTAAATAAGTGTTTCAGATTGTAATCTGCGACAAAATAAAACAAGATTTAGTGCATGTAGATGTAACCACTTTCAAGGCCGTATTGGAGTTCAAAATCTACTAAATATTATAAAAATACCCTTCCACATTCAGTATATATTGTACATTTACAGAAAATAAAGGCATTTGATGAATACTAAAATTGGCATGCGGTTTAAGAATATCTCTGAAATGAATAATAATATGTCAACTATTTTGTTATAGATTACACCCTTATTAACCGACCTGAAACTTTTGATATTTACCTCTTTAACTTTTTCCAGTTCTTTGCTACCATCTTGAATTTCCTGATTGACTTTCATAATTTCATTCCCTTTCTCTGTTTACGAAAAGATACAGACATCCTCAAATAATTTATCTCGTGGGTCTACGTTTTGTTTCTCTACATAATATAACTGTTTAATTTCTACACTTTGAAAGCGACCGAGAAGAAAAACTTGCAAGTTATGTGATAGTAAGGAAACATGCTACGCATTTGTCATTAGGGTGGAACAAAACAAATCTTTACCCTTCCCCCAACCCACACCTCGTAAGAATAAGATTCCCAGCCAAATTCAAATTTGCGGTCAGAATCTTCAGTGACTTACTAAGTTATAGAAGACTCGTTCTC